GGCATCCAGGAGCAACTCACTTCTGGTGTCCGGATCACACTCCCTTGTTCCTACCCACTGGTCCAAGGCTCAGGCGCCTCCTGGTGGCCAACCAGCCTCTCTGTGCCCTGCTCTGAGTCGAAACCCTGTCCAGGGTCCTCCACATCCTCCAAAGCTGACTCATAGGGCCCCTCGCTGTTGGAGTCTGGTGGCAGCTCCAATGGCTCCTGCTGGGCCACAGCAGATTCCTATCCCATCTTTCATTCAGAAACTCCAGGTGACACACATGATGCACGCTCTCCTCTTATTTTTCTTCATGTTCATAATCCTGCGAGATAGATTGGTTTGAGAAGGAATGATTGGCCTAGAAAAATCCTCTGAGTTTCTCTGGCTGAGGATGGGCTAGAACCATGATGGCGAACCTATGGCACACAGAGCCCTCTGTGGGCGCTGGAGCTGTTGCCCCAGCTCAGCTTCATCACACGTGCCTCCCACCAGCCAGATTTTTGGGTCTCTGCTGCGCATGCGGGAGACACACAGGCATGCGCGGGGGTGCAGGGAGGCCTGCTAGGCCCAAAACAGGGCGCAGGGGGATCGCACATGCATGCGCAGGAGGCGGGGCACATGGTGTGTGTGTCATGTGCACATTGTATTATGGATGTGGGCACTCCACGCTTTTGGCATGTGATGACAAAAAGGTTAGCCATCACTGGGCTAGAACCTGGATCTCCTCTTTCCTAGTACACCTTCACCACCACACTCAGACAGCACCAACTATTAGAAGTGACTTCATCCTGATATACTGTTATAGCTAAGATTATTAGCTAGCCAACCTATGTTGGAGCAGCTTCTGTTGAGTTTTCAGCCGGAGAGACTGGACAAAAAAAAAGGCCCTTAAAAATATGACATTGTGACTTGTCCAGGCAACCTCAAATGAATGTTGAAATATTCCAGGATAGCAAATCTGGGGGTCACAAGAAGACACACCGGTATCAGTTGACTCAGGAATTCTGCTCAACCTACTGTAGTAGATACCAGGATGAGAGTTACTTTCCAACAGAGGTTGCTCACTATGTTCTTCTTACCTGCAACTCTTTTTTGTGCTGATGGTGATCAGTCAGATGGCGTTTGTTCTGTTTAATGTTCATTTCAATAGAACGTATTCGTTGTTGTATTGTCGAGAGATGGGTTTTTCGGTTCTCAACTTCTCTCTCCAAATTGCTTAAAGGCATAAAGAATTAATTGCAACAACTCCTTAGCTAGAAACCTATTTGTACAGGAGTCTGAAGAATCCGACATACATTGCTTAAATGAATACTGGAAGGATCAGCTCAAAGTGTCCTCTCTTTTGAAAACAGTTGAGCATGGATTTAAATAACTGTGATCTTAAATTGAGATTAATAAAATAAAAATCATTTTACATATACTGGACACCACAAAAAATATTGAGTTAGGACTGGTTCAGCAGAAACAGGGAGCAGTCGGTTGGATTTGGTAGAAGAGAAAGGCTTGCAAGCAATACAAACAACACTTTAAAGTTCATAACTGTCCAGGTTTATTTTCTTTTATATCGTTATTTTTGTATATCTACCGTGTTTTCCCGAAAATACAACCTACCCCAAAAATAAGCCCAGCTTGCTTCTATCTCTGCCTTGTATGCCTCCCCCCCAAAAATAAGCCCTAGTGAAAAGGGAGGGCATGGTCAGCACAGAAGGCGGCAAGCGCATGCGGGCCAACGGTGTTTGGCAGCAGGTGCAGTCTATGCAGCACAGGGGAGCTGAGTACCTGTGCAAGTAGCAGACAGAGGCAGAAACTCAGGGGGAGGCACCTGGATGCGCGAAAACGAAGCAGCGGTGGGCCAGAGCAATGGATGGCCGTCGGAGGCTTATCTTCGCACAGCAACACTGGCGGTAGAGGCAGAGGATGGAGGCAGCCAATCCAGACGCACAGGCCATGGGAAAGCTGAGCGCCACCCGCCCGCCCGCAGGAGGCTCGTCTTTGCATCTCTTGGCTTGCCTGAAGCCTACACAGTGCATGGGGATTGCCTGCCTTCCACTCCTCGTGTCGGGATTGCCTGCCTTCTGCTCTGCACAGCTGCAGAGTGCACTGACTAAGGAAGTGGCGGGGTGCAGCTGCTGCCAGATACCGCCAGTCCCTGCACACTTGCCAGCTCTTGTATGTGTGCTGGAGGGCGATGTGCCCAGCCAGGCTCATCACCATGAAATCATGTTAGTGCTTATTTTTGGGCCCAAAAGTAAATAAGACCGGTGCTTATTGTCAGGGAGACACAGTACATGTAAACAAACACTTTTTCTATTAGTTTGCCATAATAGATTATCTACAGACACAATTTAACTAGCAGCAGCAAAAAAAAGAGCAGAATATATATAAAAAGAATTGTCATTAATTATTCTAACCTTATGTCTGCTTCTACATCTCTGCTGAGAAACCTAGGCCCTTTATTTTCAGAAGAGTAGTATCTTTCCTCAAACACCTGATCACCCTCAGCAGTAAAAGCTTCCCTACAATATTTAGGAGGCTTGTTGTGCTGCATAACTCTTCGAGCTTCATAATTACTCTAAGGGGGGAAAAAAGCACAGCAACAATTTACAAGTAAACCTGCAATATTGACAACTCAGAAAGATTTAAAACAGAAGGGTCTGAAAACTTTTCTTAATGTGGTTATCACTACAATTTAAAATATCCAGCTGAATACCAATAGGCTTCTTCCCATACTGAACTCTATTGCATTTATCTTTCTGCAAAAATTATTTCAAGCAAGAACTCATTATCTCAAGATTATGGGTGCATCACCCCCTTTATGTGATAATTTGCCATAAATCAAATCTGATTTTAATTAATCTCTTGCCACAGCTGATGAAACCGTCAAGCCTTTCCTTTACACCCTGTTATAATTTCCTTTAAGCTCCAATAGTCATTCTTTTATATAATAGCAAAACAACTTGATAAACATCTGAACATGATTTGGTACAAAACACAAACAGCCTACATTTAATGAATAGTCTGTCTAATCCTAAATAAAATGAATTCGCACAAAAATATTATGCTAACATTCTGTATGCATTGCAAGTAAATTCTTACTTTAATCAGCAGAACAGTCTCTATACCCCTCATGTCAATTAAGCAATTGGCTACTACTGCGTTGTCAATGTCTAATGCCGTCAAAACTGTTGGGAAGTTAGGGTGGAAAACAGCCCTACAAGAAGTTAAAACAGTAAGATACATCATTGTGACAACATATGAAATTAAGGTTTAATCTTTATAAACTAGCGAGTCTGGTGCACAAACAGAAATTTCTGACAATGGGCATAGAAACAGGAAACCCTTAAAAAAAAATCTACCCTGGAAAAAAACTCCCCATGGTTTGTCATGAGGAATAAAATAGACATTTATGATCAAAATCATTCAGACTTTTTCACTGTTCTGACTGCTACAATTGGGACACAGTGTATGATTTTTAATTGGAAAATAGAGAGAGCAATTCAGAGTGGCAAATAGTAGATTGGAGAAGGATTGGTTTAGAAATGGAAGGATAATTCTGGGGTAGAGAGTTTAGAAGAAAATAGCAATTAAACACATTGCTGGGAAAAAAGATTACTGCATACCAGCTCCTAATTTTTTAGAGAATTCCTCAAATCTTGAGAACAAATTTTCAGAGGATACTTATTTCCTTCTTTTAATTAATGGAGGCTTATACAAGTCTGTGCATAAAAGAGATTATATTGGATATAAATTATGTATTCTATTAAAAGGCCTCAAAATGGGAGAACAGTGTTCACATATAATATGTTAAGAATTGTTATCTATACGCTATTGTGAACTACTATAATGAGCTAAAGATGACAGAAGCAAATCTTATATTTATTGATGCCAGTTAATTATATGCAAAGTTATTTTAAAATATCTCTCCGTGAATTTATTTCCTAGCATATAAATTATGATTGAGCTTTAATTAAAACAATATCGTTCAAACTACAATAGGCAAGTGGGAATAAAGAAATTGATTTTAACAAAAGGCTAATTTAGAAATCAGATTTTTTTAAAAAGACACTTACTTTGACTTTACATCATAAACACTGTTCTGAAAACGAATAACAATAATTGCAGGTCGAAAACCAGCTTGACAGTATTTGGACATCAATGCCTGCAACGCTCTTTCATCTTTATGATTGTCACAACAAAATGCAAGCAGCAGGTGTTTTAAGCATGCTTCAACAGCCAAAGTTAGTTCAGGATCTTTCAGATGAATAAAAGCACCTAAATGTAAGCATGAAACCTCAGTACATATTGTCAAAATAAGTTCCTTCAGTTGTACAGGATAGGATTGCTGTTTTCCCACTGCAAGCACCTGCGTGGTAGCAATAGCACAATGTGTAGAGACAATGCTATTTCCGTGACAACCCCCCCCCCTTTTTTTTTAAATAAAGCAGAAGGTTCAATATATTTGTGGTTTTATATTTGCCTATTTTCCCCAAATATGACATTTTGGTAAAGGCCTCTGATTATATTCAATCTGCTCATAGTTACCTACATATAAAGTAAAAGTGCAGAAGTATTCATCTTTCGGATATATGAATGGAGCCATATAATTATTTTTGAAATAAAACATAGAAGCCTGTGTTCTTATTACATTTTTGCCATGCCCTACATACAAGAAAAAATATATATACAGCTGGAAACATTTCATGAGTTTTGAATTCTCATTGCAACACCTTCTGTAATTATAATTTTAGCTCACCAAAATAAACAACTGTACATACTGAGAAAATCCCATAAACTGACTACAAGAGGCCAATTCTTTACGTATATAAAGAAGGGCTACTGAATAATCCCGAAAGCTTTTATAATTCAAACTGTGTATGGATTACTACAATTTACTTCAGATTCTTTCTTTGTAAATATACATCTCCTCAGTTCAACATACCAAACATAAAATACAATAAGTAGGAATCTAAAAGTTCCTCCTTGCCATTGTAAATACTTCCTGAGGAAAAAGGAGTGTGGAGGGATGGTTTACCTTATTATCTCAAAATAAGAAATGTGGTTATACACAGACAGATAATGGCAATGCTGCATTTATTATTCAGTTTGCGAATATCAAAGCTGCAACTCAATACTTTTACTCTGTTGAGTTAAAGCTTTCATTATTTGATTACATAGAGAAGAACACTAACAGATTACCTAATGGTCCTACTGGTTTGTATGTAAACTGCCCTTGAGCATGAGCCGCATCAATTGCTTCACAAAGGTCTGGCATATAGGATCCAAATCTTTTCATGCGATTGGTTTTACTCTCCTTTAATTGTCTAAGCTGTTGCTGTTGAGAGTCTAGCTTTTTTTTCATTTCACTTTCTTCCTGTCTAAAAAAACAAAACAAAAAACAAAAAAAATCCAACTATTTCTCTTTGAGAAAACATTTCATATGTAGCGCATTTTTTTCCTTAGCAAAACTATTAATTCAGGATTCCAAAACTATGACACACACAGACACACAGACACACACATATAATTTATGGTGAATACTAAAACTGGGTACTTATGAACATAGCTTAAGAATTTATTTTTAGAAGTGGAATGAAGTTTATTCTTTTAGCCACAAACATACTCTCATTTTCTATTCAAATATTATAAAAATAAGGTGGGATACAAACAACTAAAACATTTAATAATAATCTGCAATTTCAAATTAGAAGTGTTCACTGTCTCCAAAAGATTATTCAAAGTTCTACAAATGCATCTGCTCTATTTTCATGCTTACAAAAGGAAGAATGCTTTTGATTTTGTAAAATACGTGACTTACATCTCCTTCAAAAAGGTGGGTGACTTTACTTCTTGCAGAAAAATTGTACGGAATCAAAATGATTTATGCCACTTCCCAGAACTAACCTAGAGAAATTTTATATGCATATTTCCTCTCATGCTAACATTGACTACTGAAGTGTGAAGGCAAATGAAGAAGTCAAACAAGACATTGTGATTAATTTGTACCTTTCTTTACTAAATTTACTGTATTTTTCCTATTATTTATTCATGAGTGGCTTCCATATTGTTCCTTATTTTTTCCCACAACATTCCCTATGACAGGGTGGTCTGAAAGACAGCCCTATGTTTCCCACAGTTAATAGCAATAGCAGAAGCTATTAGACTTATATACCGCTTCACAGTGCTTTATAGCATTCTCTGTGCAATTTATGATATTAGCATACTGCTTTCCAACAATCGGGGTCTTCATTTTACCGACCTTGGAAGAATGGAAGGCTGAGTCAATCTTGAGCTTGTCAGGATCAAACTCCTGGTAGTGGACAGAGTCAGCCTGCAATACTACGTTCTAACCACTGTGTCATTACGTTTCCTGATCGCGGCTAAGAGCAGGCTAAAATATGGGTCTCCCACTTTTTGATCCAACATTTTTATACACACACCCAAATCTAATAAACAATCAAGCCACAGTGACACCTAAGCAGCTTACCTAAGTCGAGTAAAATCTTCATCGTATGAACGTAGAGCCTGTTGAAACTGTGTTATCTGCTGACCAAGAGATTCATCTTGATTCTGTAATGTCTTCAGCTTTTCTTTCAAGCTGTCTATTGTTTTTTGTTTTTCCATTTTATCAGGCGCTGTCATCTGTTCAGTACTGCAATGATGCAATTTACAGATTATTTTGTCCAAGCACTAATTTGTTAAAATACAAATTATTAAAAAAACAGTAACAAATACTGATGTTTTATTTACATTTCAAGCTATGTAATTATAGGGCATTTTTATTTGGCCTAACTTTTATGATAAAATCAATGCTAATAGGACCGTCTCCAACACTCCCATTTTAAAACAGGGTAATTTAACAAAAATACAGGTATAATGTTTATACTGTATGACACAACCAATGGCTCAAATGGCTCTTATGACTTTTTGTTGCCTGTTTAAAGTTCATTTCTTTAAATGCATGGAACTTTATAGATAGATGGATGTTATCGGAAGAGGGATAATAAATGTAGATTTTGAATCACTCTCCGTCTCACCTATCCTCAAATCTCTTTTTGAATAGAGCAGATTTGGAAGGGTAAAATGAAAAACGGAGAACGTAAGAAATATCTACTTTGCTGATAGATGCAATTCCACCAAGCAGCAGAATATTCATTGAAGATTTTATTCTTTTTCTCTATGTTGCACATTTCAAAGAACCCCCTTTTTTTGCTAATCTAGAACCTAATTAGAGGGGAGGGGGAAGAATTATTACCTATTTTTTAGTTCTTCAATTTTTTTGTTCAGTTGTTCATGATCTTTTAACAAACGCTTCAATTCAGCTTGAGACCTATTATGTGCTGCCTGGACAAGAAAAAAAAACAGGTCTGTGTTAAAAGTAGCTTGAACACAATTACAGTACATACTGACCCACAATTCAAATAGAGGAAAGATCCTACAAATCCCTTCTTGAAATGATATTTTTCTGGGCCGTAATTTGTTTGTTTTCCTAGTCCATTTTTGCTTCCACACCAACAGTGACAAAATCCACACACAAAATATAAGCATCTAAGATTTCACTACTATGAGGCAGCATTCAGAAATTGAAGACTGTGGATGGAGAATTCAAACCTCTGCATTGTTGTATCCTTTTCTTTTTGAGTCCACTTCTTTTTTCAAAGCAATACACGATGGTTCTAGAGTTTGAGCTTCTTCGGTTATCTTCTCTAGTTCATCTTGCCTAGTTCTGTGTTTAACTTCTGCTGCATCAACTTTATTCTAAAAAACAAATGTCATAGAAGTGTTGAGAACAATAACACAGAAAAGTTATTGATATTCAAATCCATCTGCAAGGAATGAGATAAGCTCACGTGGTTACATTCTTTGGAATGCTATAAGATGACAATTCTTTGAAAAATGCAATTTCAATTGTTCCTTGCTTTCCAATATATTTTAGACCTCATTCAGGTCTACCATGAACGCTGGAGTATGAACGTTATAGATGAACCAGGTATAAACAGAAGTTACAATTTCTATATAGGTATTTTCATCTTTCAGCCCTTATTACACATAAAGGTAGCAGTCTGCCATCAGTGCTGTTGGCAGTTCAACAATCAATCTGAAATTTATAGTGTACTAAATTTAATGAAATATACTATGCACCTATACTTATGTTTTTAATCTGATCAATTAAACAGTGTTTTCTGCCTATTGTGCTCAGGTACCTACATCAAAAGTAGCCTACACAGGGTTTAAATATAGCTCTGCTTCCAGAAGGAAGGAAGGACCATTGGCTTACCTGAATGGTCATTCTCCGGGCGCTGCAGGAGAATCCAAGCATGGCTTAACACAGCCTATCTGCCCTAGGACTGAATAGATTTTTCTTTGGTCACGCCTCCTTTGCCTCATTGAGGTCAGTTTAAAAACGAAGTCTTGTCCGCTGTAGGCTGCCCTTCAGGTATCCTAATCGTAATGCCGAACTTTGGACCTTGCAAAAACCCTGGGTGGGGTTGGACTCTCCCGCAGCGCCCAGAGAACAACCGTTCAGGTAAGCCAACGGTCATTCTCCTGTGCGCTGCTTGGAGAGTCCAACCCTGGGACATACCCAAGCTATTTTGTCCCAGGGAGGGCAGAAGTCGTGTCCAGATTGTCTGGAGCCGAGACAACTTGCTGCAAAACACGTCTTCAAACTCTCCAAGCAACGCACAGGAAAACTTTGACATTTATTTAGAAGTAAACATTCGACTCAATTTGGGTTTTGTTAGTATTACATAATAATTCAGGTGATTAGATGTTTAAATGCTAGAATGCACAAGTTTTGAGACCTGTTTCCCATTATTTTATTATTCATGCAACATATATTCATGTATATAAAGGAACTCAAATGAAGGAAATATCTATATTCACTTCTTCAATCTTCAATGTGCAAAAAAAATCATTTTATTTATAGAAATATTGTTCCACAAATATTAACTTTTATTCAGTTAATTTCCAAATAAATCAATAGTCAGAGTATTTCTGTAATTCTATGTATAACAGGTCAGTTCTTAATTTTCTGTAGCCTTCTAGATCATAACCTGAAAACTTCAGTTTTTCTGAGGTGACAAAATAGAGGCAATTCTTGGCAATTTCTAATAATAATATTTTTAAAAATAATTTTAATATTTCAATCGAGCCAACCATTTCATGGCAAGTTTTGCAACTTACCTGCCATTCTTTCACTCGGTCAGTGAATTTATCAGTTTTCGCTTCTTGGGCAGTAACCTCCACTCTGATTGCTTTTATTTCTTTTTCAGTGTCTCGTACCTAAAATATAAACTCCAAGTTAAAATCATTTATGAAATATTACAATCAAATTAAACTCATTCATATCACATTGCAAATCACAAGCAATTACCATTGCCCAAGCTATTTGACGCTGCAATTCCTGCAGGTCATTCTGCATTTCGCTCAAAGCAGCAATACTTCTGTAACGTTCCTCCTTCTCCAAATATTGCATTCTCAGTTCTTCAAGAAACTGCAAGAAAATATAAAAAGATAGCAGAGGAAATACAATAATTTCTGAATGTGTACCTCTGACTGAGAAGTTCAGCAGACTGAAGATAAAATCTGACCATTGTAAGCTTTTCCAAGAAATTATAAATTCAGATAGTAACAATGTGCCCAATTAAGACTTTTAAGGATCCTTTCTCGTTGATCCTACATACTGTGAGACTGATTTTCAAGGTACGCACTTATGGATGGACTTCCTCCAGGTGTCGGTAGTCCTCTAATTGTTTGATTATACTCAATCGGGTTTGAAGTCATAGTTCCTAAAAAGCCCTTTAAAATTCTAAATTAACCTAATGAAAACCTGGAGGTTAACTAACCACAAAAAAAAATTGTCAAAAAGTAAAACTGAAAGAAAAGGGAGACCATGCACAAATCAGTCCAACAGATAAATTGAATTATCTTGAATTGGATTATTGTAAGTCAATTAATTAAAGGCTACCGTTCTGCTAATTGAGTTTTATTAACACTTTAAAACATAAAAAATGCATTTATTTGTTTAATATAAATTCATTAAAGCTTTACTGGTATATTTTGTGGCAAACTACAATATCAGAAATAGTTTTCTAATACCTCTCCTCCTTGTTCAATTTGATCAGCTGTTCTTTGTTTAGTTTCCATGATGTATGAATAATCTTCTTTCATCTGCTCCAGTTGAGTTGCTTTCATAAAAAACTCAAGAAACAGAAAAATTATGTTTTTAAAACTGTCTTTTTAATAAAGCAAGGGCTATGAATGCATTTTTTTCATACAGTTGACCAAAGCTGTTTGTCCCACACTCCGTTTTTTCACATGCAACACAAAAATACATTAATAAGCCTATCCTGGAAATGCAAGTTAGGTGCTTCTGTGCAACTGTCTCATCTCCCTCTAGACCAGGGGTGTCAAACACAAGGCTCACGGGCTACATCCGGCCCATGGGGCTGTCCTGGAAAATGTAAGGGGCTGGCCTGCTTCGCCTCAACCCGGTCTACTCACGTGGCTTCAGCCTGGTCTACCCAATGCGAAGAGGAAACATGCCAAAAGTTTGGGGAGTTGCCTCAAGCTGGTCATGCCCACCCCAGTCAACCACGCTCCCCACCCTGAGGTCAACCAAAGTCCTGAGGCAGCCCTCAATAAAATTGATTTTGACACTCCTGCTCTAGGCATTTCTCTCCATGCTCTTCAAGCTACTCAAAATTAAGAATAGATGGCAGACACTGGGTTTTTTTCAGTAGAAACCTGGTTCATCCTCTTATACATTGCAGACTATACCACATGGTGGTTTATTACCTTGTATTTATCACCTTCATTTTTAGACTGTAAAAACTGTTTGCTCATTTCCTGGGTGAGTACAGAGACAGGATTATCTACCTGCAACAAAATAGTAGTATTTTATTTTGTAAAAAAGTATAAATAGTCAGCTACCTGACATTCAACTATTCTCCTCCATATCTATTCCCACACACACTATATTGTCATAATTACAAAGTTCCAACTTGTTTTAAACTTCTAATGAACACATATAACTTTAAATCACATTATTGTGTTTATATTAAGTATTCAAACTTTTGTTGTTGTATGAACTGATAACTCAGGGGATTTTTATTTGATTAATTCAATTACAAATTTCACATACTGTATGACCCCACAATTCAGATGATCAATTGGATGGTAAAAATGTATGTATAGCATTGCTCAATACAGAGTGGAATTGCAGTTACCTGGATATTAAAGTGATCCAGGATTGCAGTAAGTTCTTCTTTCTTGGAAGAAATTAAGACTCCTAAACATAAGAAAGAATAACTATAAGTATCATTATAAATATTATTGTGCAGCCTTTTAATAGAACAGGCTTTCTAAGAATTTACCCATTTAAGAAAAAGTAGTCTGAGCTTCACTATGTAACTTAAACCAGTGTTTTTCAACTAGTGTGCCGTGACATAGTGTAAGGTGTGCCGTGGGAAAAACACTTTATATATAGTCAATATAGGCACAGAGTTAAAAAATTTTAACATTTTCTAATGGTGGTGTGCCTCGTGATTTTTTTCATGAAAAAAGTGTGCCTTTGCACAAAAAAGGTTGAAAAACACTGACTTAAACGAAAGGCAAATAAAACCAAATGTGTCATGAAGCTCCCAGATATGTTTTTTTCAATGTGCCTGTATTGCTAGTAGCATAATTTATTGAAAATTGATGGAGAAAACAGTCTCTTAATAAGCCACGAGATTTTTAATTCTATGAGTTTTTCTATGAGCACAGGGGGCGGAACACATACGGGGGGGCGGGGGGTTCCGCACGCACATGCACAGAGGATGTTGCACAAGCATTGCATTATGGGTGTGAGCACACGTGCACGCTTTTGGCACATGATGACAAAACGTTTAGCCATCACTGGCCTAGATCAAGATTACGTGACCGAGGGAGTGGTGCAATGGTCAGGATCGCTGAACAAATTATCTTTAACTAACGTCTATCTGTACAATTTAACTTTTTTCTCTCTAAAGGTACATACATTTTCAAAAGTGAAAGTGGAATATAAACAAACCTGTATTGCTTTTCAGCTTATAACTACGATGTCCCTCCGAGGTTATGTGCTGGTTTATAGTAATACTGTCACCATATTGCTCTGGTTTAAATGCATCTTCACCTCGATTTCGTAGAGTGACTGAAACATCTGCAGAACTGAAGTACATGATTTGCAATTGAGAACCTTCTTATTTATAACAACAGTACTTTAAGTGGTTACAACATAGTTTTCATCAACTGCACTAATCTTAGTTTAGAAAGTTTATATAGCTAAGGCTTTAAAAGGCAACCAACAGATCCCTTACTCGTCAACTGCATATTTGAGGCTGGTTCCCATCTTTTAACTCAGGTCAGGCATCCAACTGAATATCAGTTGTATAAATGAAAGCAAAATAGAGAAAGAAGCACAAAGGCCAACTGCAAGGCAGGCTGAATAATGGCTCATATGACTGTCAAACTGATCACTCAAAGTACTGAAGTTAAAAATAAAATAAGATGATTTTCTTAACCATTTGTATCCACATATGAATAAGGTAACCAATTTATGTACCCGTAGAAGAATAAGCAGGTGTGAAATATTAAGAGATGAGCATAGCAATTTCAAAAGGCAATGCCGGCATATGAAATATAAAAGACTGAATATTTATAGCAACACAATAGAAATCCACATTGCAATTCCCTAAAGAACACAATCAATGCTATAATAGCTCTGGTGGACTGAATCCAGAGCATATCTCAGCTGAAAGTTTTGCCAGCTGGTAACAGAAGCCAGAGTAGTTTAACTGGAAAAAAGCTGTGGAGAATAGCTTTCCCTATCCATTCTCTCACATCACGGAATCCTGAATTGAAGGAAGTGATCTGTACTTTTCTTCAGACAGCTGAAATGCCTGTAGAATCTAAAAACAAACAGAAGAAGCCAGGAGAAGTGTGCAAATGCTGCCTCCTCCTGTCCTGCATTTCTCCACATAGAGAAACTAACTGTCTGTAGAAGAGATGAATTTTGTCCCAGGGAATTTAGGATCCCAAAATTAAGAATTCATTATTAATTACAAAAGAAGATTGAGTTTTTAACTTCAACTTCAGCATCACACACACGATACCATCTAGTGCAGGGAAAAGGTAAAGGTTCCCCTCACACCTATATGCTAGTTGTTCCTGACTCTAGGGGGCAGTGCTCATCTCCATTTCAAACATGAAGAGCCATCGCTGTCTGAAGACGTCTCCATGGTCATATGGTTGGCATGACTAAACGCCGAAGGGGCATGGAACGCTGTTACCTTCCCACCAAAGTTGGTTCCTATTTTTCTACTTGCATTTTTTACATGCTTTCGAACTGCTAGGTTGGCAGAAGATGGGACAAGTAACAGGAGCACACTCCGTTACACAGCGCTGATTTGAACCGCCAAACTGCCAACCTTTCTGATCAACAAGCTCAGAGTCTTAGTCAGTGAGCCATCCCTTATCTAGTGCAAACACCTGCTCAATTACAAATTCAAATTAAACCATTCCCAGCAAGTGGCTATCCAGTCTTTGGTTGAAAACATTCAGCAAAGAGCAACCCACCATCACCCTAACTGGTTCCATTTTCCAACTGATCTCATTTAAAGCATCTTTTCTAACATTAAGCTGAGGCAGTATGGCTTTTCCTTTGCCAAAATCTTTCTATGCCGCAAAGTGACCTCAAAATAAATTAATGATTAAATTTTTTTTATATGATCATCACATATTTCTATTGCGCAGCTCACCCAAGAGACTCTAGAATGTTCCTTCCCCATACCTGGCTCTGCAAATCAGCCTAAAAAAATGACTGTTTTTAGCTAAAAGACCAGAGATCCTTCCCCACACTTAGTACTGCTCTTGCTGAAATTCACTAACCTCTGTCCATCTTTCACAAATACTTTCAAGGACGATCCTCGGTTTGTCACTGTGGCTTTTCCCCCAAGGCCTACAATCAGGGCAGTTAGTACAGCACTTTTCCCACCTGAAAAGAAGGCAATAAATATAAATGGAATCAACAGTGATACAACTGCTATATTGTTTACTGTGTCCAGAGAGATTGTTTTTTTTCTCTTTTAAACATAAATTTGTCTTTAGCCCACCCCCTCAACCTTTGATCCAGCTCACCCCCGTTATTGGAAAAAAAACCTTTTCAAACAAGCTATTTATTGAGAAAACAGGAGAGGTTAGAAAAAAATGTAGGCTAATAAAGGGAGAGAATGACTACAGCTAAAATACTTGACTTAGTTAACAAAATGACTAAGGCTGAAAACTCAGTGCTATGGTAAAGACTCTTCCTCCGGCACAATTGAAAACAATAGTGAGCATTATTCATTTTTCCACTTTCTTAGTAACTCAGGACAATCCCTGAAGCCAAGCGCAAGGGTGGGAGTGCTAGCAGGGAAAATTAAGCATCTTTCAGGGTCAGAAATAATTAAGCTTGGGCATCATTCAAATGTCGTTTAGGGAATTCATGCCTAAACAGCTCAAGTGCTCTCAAGAAAATCATTTCCTGCACTCTTTACAGAGTCTCAACATCTTTTTTATAATATGGTAACCAAAACTGGATGCAGTATTTTAAGTGTGGTGTTACTAAGTTTTTATAAAATGGTAATAGTACTTCAATTCAGTTCAGTGGGTTGCCAGAGGCATCCTTATGGACAACTGCCATAAGGCTTCTGGCTATTTCCTGAGGTTTTGAGGGAAGGCTAATATTAGACCGCAACAAGGTAGCCTCCCACCAATCTGAACAGTTTGTCTTGCACAATGTCCCTATGCAGTGGAGCTCCGTCTACCCAACATTCAAACAACCTGCAATTGTAGATATAGTGACATTGCAAGTCACTTGGCCTTGGAACACCATGACCCGTTTAGATTTATTACCATTTCCTGCCTTTGAACCGATCTTTTTCAAGAGATGGTTATGCTAACCTAGATTCTGCCCTTGATACTTTTCCTACAAATGACTCGAGTAAAATATACAAGACCACAGAGATTCTCAATCATCCTGAGAATCAACGCTGTCCCAAAGATGTTTTTCAAATGGCAACTAGGCCTATTTTTTCCCCTAAAAATGTTTCGCATCTTCAGAACTGAACTTCAAGAAGCTTCTTCAGAACTGATCAGTCCTGAAGAAGCGAAACATTTTCAAGATAGAAAAACAAGAAAACCCAGTTGCCTTTTAAAAAGCCCCTTTGGAAATAAAATATTGAAGCTTCAGATTCTGGAGTTGTACACTAGTTGAAAATTTGAACGTTGGCCAAATATTTGTACTTGCAAGTCTATATGATTCACAGGTGAAAGAAGCATGATCTATAATGGCAATCCCTCCATTTCTTGGTTTCTCAAAAAACGTGGAGTAGGTCACGATCCGGAAGAAGGGTTTAGGCCATCCAATAAATCTCCACTCTCATATCTGCAGTCAAGGCTCTGATTAACATTTTTTTTTGTTTTATATGAATGAACCAAAGGAAAATAAGGCAACAGATCTGCTCCTAATGACAATGGCAAAATCTGATCAGCCATACACATTCAAAGATGTGTATTTTGGAGCTTCACTCGCAAGTATTAATTGTGGGGTTGTACATTCAGAGTGGTAGTACAAAGTTGGATTCTCCAGCTATGTATGCACTCTTTCCATGCTTTTGTGTTATGATTGGAACTTCAGGACAAAACTGAATATTTTTTTTTATTTTCAATGATATTTTATAAACTTCATATCAGTAAGATACAAAAGCATGCACAGAATACTAATATATAGGCTAAAAAATCCCTACACAATATATATTTAAGATGTCCGTTGAGCTCTGGTTCTACTTGTTGCTACAGAATTTTCAATTTGTTTGAAAATGCACAGAAAGCTTTTCGCTGAGTTTCCAATGTCTTTGCAGTCTATGCATTCTCTTATGACTTGCTTATGGCTTGTGGATACAAGTGTCTCTCTCTCTCTCTCTCTCTCTCTCTCTCTCTCTC